CACACACACACACTCCTTGAAATCATAGTTCCACCCTAACCGTCATGAGCTGCCTGCTGTTGGGATGACGGGATGGCAATTGGCTTAGGGGAAGAAAAGTCTCGAGTCGACCCCAATGCACAGCCACCCTGTAGGACAGAGTAGAGCTGCCCCTGTGGGATTCCAAGTCTGGACATCTTAATGGGAGTAGAAAGCCTCCTCTTTCTCCCATGGAGAGGCCGGTGGGTTTGAACTTCTGACCTTGTGGTCAGCAGCCCAATGAATAATGCACTATGCCATCAGGGCTCCTTAGAAAGGACTTTAGAGATCCTTTATTCAAACTCCCTAGCTTTATGGAATAGCAAACCCAGGCTCAGAGAGGGGGAAGGGACTTGCCCAAGGCCACTCAAGACGGTGACGGAGAATGGCAGTCAGAGGAGAGATTCCATGGGTGAGAGGGGGCGTTATTACCATTAATCGATCGGGTATTGGGTGAGCAGGTATCAGTCTTGTCAGGAAGCAGTGTCCTCCTAGGGCAGGAGGAGGTCCCTCTACTACTCATTTGCACTTGAGAAAAAGAAAAGATGGCCCAGGTCCCCACTGACGGCTGCGCTGGGCAATTCTTTCTCCTGCTCAGCTCCAGGGGTGGCATGCCACGCACTTTGAGAAAGCCTCCCATCCTCCCCGCCTCCTCTCACCTTCCCCCTTTCTCTGATACCTCCCCCTCTCCTCTCTCCCTTTCTCCTTCTATTTTATTCCCTATCCTTGAATTCCTCCTCCAGGCTGGGCTCTACCTTGGGTGGAGGTGGGGACAGGGAGAACACAGCAGAACATCTAGTTTGGGTACAAGATCGTTACATTAGGGCCCACCTATTATTACATAGTAAAGCCCCCGCCCTTGGATGCGTTAGGAGACTTGAGGGGAGGGAGGGCTGGGACACCTTTTGAGGGGAGATGGGGCCAGCTGAGCTCATAATAACTAATTATAACAGCGGCCGTTTATTGAGCACTAATTATGTGCTTGGCATTTTGCACTCCTTCCTCCTTCAGGCCTGACGACAGCTCTGGAAGGTAGACATCACCACCCTTTTCCAGATGAGGGAACTGAGGCGCAGGGCTTCCATGAACTCACTTGTTCAAAGTCACTCGGTTGGATAGGGCAGACCCGGGATTTGAACCCAGGTCGGCCTGATTGTGTAGCTCACACTGTCCATCACCTCCTCCATGGAAGGCACCCTGTGCCCCAAGGAGAGCCTCCCAGACCCCGGTCAAAGGAGCAATAGGTACAGAAGCACAGGTGGGAAAAGAGCTACCCAAGTCCCTCTCGCTCTTGAGTGTAACCCTAAACAGGCCTGTCTCTCCGAGCAGCCGTGAGGCAGGGGCAGCCAGACAAGGGCTTGTCCAAGAGGAGTTGCCCCCGTGCCCACCTTCACCCACAGCAGCAGCTCACCTCTAGGAAAGTCCTTTCCTGACCCTGTGTTGGGACAGAGCGACACTCCTAGGCACCCGGCTTCCCCACTGGTCCCCCAGCGCAAGGCCCTATAACCTAAGCTCTCTCTATGACCCCTCCCCCACCAGAGGCCACAAGCACAGGAGTGCATCCACACATCCACACACAGATATACACACCCACTCCCCGAAGACTGGCCTCCACACTCTCACAAACTCAGACAAGCACGCTCTCTCACACACAGCAAACCTAACAGCGTACAGAACGCCAAGTCTAACAGTGGCGAGGCTGGCGTGGGACTGGGCAGGGCTTTTTCTGCTGGACATGGAACTGTCCTGAGTTGGAACCCATACGATAGCGCACAACAACAACAACAGCTACATCTCATAGGCATCCTCACACACTCGCACTCAGACACAGACTTGGCCCACACAGACCACCAAGTACGTAGGCAGACACACACGCACACTCATCCAGGCTGACACGCGCAGCCACACCGACTTGTGCTCACACCTGTTTACCCATAGGCTTAGCGAGACACCCTCACGGGCTCACCCTCACACACACACACAGACGTACACGTCCTCACACCCATCGACACACACAGACGGACACGCCCTGCATCCCTTGAGTTTTAGGTCAGAATTTTGCCAAGATGCGACTGGCATCCTCACCTGGGTCCCGCGCCCCCTTCCACCGGGCCTCGGGTTCACGGTGGCGGGGACCTGAGAGAGCAGTGTCCGCCTCTCCGTAGAGCAGCTCAGAGGCAGCTGAGGGTGGTCTGTCCGGGGAGCAGGGTCTCCTCTGGCTGTCGGTGTGACAGCCTCCGTGGAGGCATTTGCTAATGACGGAGCTGGTCTGGAGGACAGCGCCTGGAAGTGAATGTCACCCAACCCGTTTGAGGCCAGGAGGCTCTTGGCGTTGCCCAGGGGTTTGGCAGCTGCTGGCATCACGTGGCTTCCATGAGGTTGCAAGCAGGGGAA